TAAAAAATAGCATTATGCCATTGATTTATTTGTTGTTAATGATACAAATTGAATTTTTGTATTTGCTAAGTTGACTAGCTAGCATAAGAAAACCAGGCCACTGATTTACCTTTTGTTGTGTGGGTAATTGTGGTGAAATTAGTTGATACTAGTAGTTGCCGGTGTTGATGGTGGTGGTTGAAGAATGTGTGGTGGTTGATAATGTGTTGTTGGTAGTTGGTGGCGGTGTTAGTTGTGATAATAGAGGTAGTTGGTAGTAGGGATTAGCGATAATGGTGGTGGCGGCTGTGACAGTGGTGGCAGTTGATATAATTATAATGATGTGGATGGTAAGTGTGGTAGCGATTGACAGTAGTGGTTGGCAACGATGGTGGTTATGCTGGTAGAGAAGGTTAGTGGTGGTGTGAATAGAGTGGAGGTGAAAATTATCCAAACAAATATACCTCTTAATGATATTAAGACGTTCAAGATCTTAATGATTAAGACCTATTCAGATCAAATAAGTGCTTAAATCTTATTGTATGCAAATGCATTAATGACCTAAGGTTTGAACTATTCATACCAACATTGTTAAGTACAGGCTAATGAGGCCTAAGAGTGGCACTCTAGTATCCACTTGTACCTAAACTTGTCAGGGAGTAATCCAAAATTAAAGAGTGTTTTTATCTGGGTGGAGTTGGGGGAGGGGATCAGGGGGGTGGTAGGTGATTTTAACTGTATACTTGTGATTATTCTGCTAGTATAAATCTCCTAAGTTACTAATGATCTCTCTTGTTTTGTTTAAATGATATCTTCTGTTTTAAGGTCTCTTAAAATATATTAACCTCTTAAGTTAAGATCTCTTGTGGATTGAGTTCTGGTGCTAAACTTGATGAGCGTTTAGCACAAGTTGAGGAACGATTAGAGAAAATGGAAGCTCATTCGGAAAAGATGGAGACATTGTTGGTTGATATTAACAAAAAGTTGAACTACTTAGTGAAGATGTAGGATGCTAAAGTGTCTAGGGACTTTAGATGTCCAACTAAGTACATCAGATCCTCGTGGACTGGTAATGACCGATCAAAGAGGCAACGTAGAGTAGCTGAGATGATAAGGCAGTCGTGCAAGCATTGACGATGGGAAGAGGTGCAATAGTGCAGTAGTTCCTCCGGTTGCTTTGCATGATGATTGTGTCGTAAATGTTTAATTTACTAAGTTATCAAGTAAAAAAGAACTTCTAGTTTAATTTCTTTCTTTTTAAAAAAAAATTCTAAGATCTCTTTGTCCTTCTCTAAAATTCTAAGATCTCTTTGTGTTTAAGGTTAATCTTCTTCTAAAGCCACGATTTTTTAGCAGGAATCTAGCTCCAGCAAAGTTATTGGGAGGCCTTCAGTATTTTTCAAGTAAAATGAGTAAGTCACTATTCATATCCATCATATATTTCTTTTGCATCGTTTTAAATATTATTATTTTTACTGTATCTATTATGTATTTCATTAATTTTGATTTTCTTAATATTGAGATTAGATTCCTTCCGGAATCATTATTCTTTGAACGTGGTCATGCATTTATTTCTTATAATTCTTCCCCTTCTTGGTGAATAATAACTTAGTGCTTTGGCTAAAGAACACTTTTTGTTGTTGTGTTTTGGCTTTGGGTTGGATGATCTTTTATCAATCAGATATTATAGTAAAGACGTAATCATTGTGGCGATGCTATTTATGGTCTGTTTGGCCAAGTTTTTTGATGGCTAAAAGTCCTTATTTACAAAGATGATGTATTTGGCTATGTTTTTGAGAGAAAAAATGAGAGTTTCTAGGAAGTAGTAGGAGTTATTTTTCCGAAATTAGTAAGAGTAGTTTTCCCTAAAAACACTTTTGATAAAAACGCACTTTTCAAAATAAATTGATTTTAGAAATTTGGCCAAATAGGCTACTACAATTCTATGTATAAGTTTATAATACGAAAGTACTAATACTGTATTTATCTTTTTCAGAGGATATTGGAAGGTGGAGCTCTTATCAAACAGTGAGAGAGACGAAAAGAGATTCATCTTCAGTTGCTTTGAATTTATGAATTTATATATCTTGGCTTGTTGGTTCTTATGTCCTTTGAAGTTTTACTATGCATCTATTTATATTTTAAGAGCAAAATTGCCTTAATGTTGCTTGATCAACTGAATTGAACATTGATTGTCAAGTTTCCTAGTCAAAGTAAAACATTTTTCTTGTTTTGAAGGTGATATCAAAAACTATTATAAGGTAAAAAAATACTTTAAATACTTCACCATCAAATGATTTTTCACCCATATATATGTATGTTGTCAAGTTTATTAACACATGATTGGAGCATGCAAAGAGGAGACGAATAGATCTCACTTAGGAGGTCTGAGAGGTTGGATACAGTGGGTTACAAGGAGAGGTGAATAGGTAGGGTATAGCAGAACTTAAGCTTATTGAGGATGTTTGCAGGTTGCGTATTAGTATAGAACGTTGGTAGATATTTGATTTTTGTCTTGCTTTTTGGTGGTAGTGTGGTAACCCGTAGCCCTATATCTGTCTGTCGTAATTTTATTGTAAGCATGTAATTTCTTCCTTTTGATATATGATATCATCTGTTGTCTATTATAATTCAATATCACATTATTAGTCCTGGTTACTATTCCTTTTTCTAAATGATATGTACTGCTTTCTTTATTAATTGATATGTTTTCTTCAATTGTTGTGTTTTCTATTCATATTGATTTGATGTGCTTGAGTCGATGGTCTTTTGAAAATATCTCTACCTTCATGAAATAAGGGTAAGTTGTGCGTACATTTTACCTTGCTCGGATCCTAGTGTTGGATTGTATTTGTCCTAATATATCTTTTAGGTGGACAATTATATCGTATACTTTCCAGAGGAATAATAATAATATTTTGATCATGATAAAGCAGTCATTCCATGAAATAGAATCACCAAAAATAATTTTTTTCTCAACAAATAACGACATATTATGTGTATGATAAAGTTGGTGTCCATATCTAAAAATAATCATTTCATTTTCTTTTATCCATCGATTGCATTGAATCAATTATTTTTGGTTGTATATAATCTCTTAATCTTTTATTCTTTTATGTAAGATAACTGACTAAAGATATTTATGTGAAAAATAACAATTGATAATACCTCAGTCTGAAAAGTTCTAGGTTCTTGAAAAGATGATGATAAAGGGATCTCAATAAGTTAAGTGAAATCAAAATGATTTTAAAGTCTATAATTCCTTTTGTACCAAATATTGCTATTGAAGTAATGTAAGAAGACTAGGACCATGGTAGACAAAAGTGCGACGGACAAAAAAGCGACGGACCATGCTATTGAAGTCATCGAAGCAGAGAGCACTCACTTGCAAAAATGTAATTTTGGTATGATATTGCTAACACCTGAAGGTGTAAAACCAACAAGGTACAAATAATTTCTTATGTGAAAACATAAAGAGAAAAATGAAGTCATTAGATATAAAGCATGATTGGTCTCATAAGATTTTTTCCAAAGAGCTAGTATTGACTATATAGAGACCCATTATCTCATAGTGCGAACAAACATTTTAGGATATCTAATAAATTTGAATGTGGATGAAAAATTTGATAGACGCTTGATGGATGTTGTTACATCCTGTTTATCTGGCTAACTAGATAACAATAATTTTTTGAATTCCCTAAAGAAAAATGCATGGGGCATATAAAGACTTTCGTTAAGCTTGTTCAATAAAACTTGAAAAATTGTTCGACATATTGAATCAATAGAGGTGAATGTGATACAATCATCTTAGTGAGTATTTCATAATAATTATTTATGTTGATGATTTGAATATCACTGGAACTCTAATCCCCAGATAATATATATATATACACACTTTGATTATCAACATACAGTAAAAATTAATTTGTGTGTGTTTGAATTATCTCAAATCTGAACAAGTTTAAAGTGCATTTGATATTTTTTCCTTTTTTATTTTATGTATTTAATAATGGAGAAAAATTTCTAAATACAATTTTTTTCTTTCAAAACTTGTACTTTTAAAAATAAGCTCATAAACTCAATATAATTATTCATAGAGATTACTCAATTAACAATAGTTTTATAAATAAAATGAATAACTGAGTATTTTCATATATTAAATAAAATTTTAATAACTCTTTAGATAATTATCATTAACTTAAGTGACTTTTATGTTATCAAAATATAAAGATAATTGGGTTTATGGTATAAAAAATATTAATTGAGACACCTATGAGAAATCAACTCAACTATTTTTATTTCAATATACACAAACGTCAATAACAAATTTATATCTTCCAGGTTAAGAAAAAGTTGATCAGAATTGTGATGGATACTCACGGTGGTGGTGAAGGTACGGTACCGACCCAGCCGTGGCGGCCGCCGGAGAAGCTGCCGTAGGTAATTTTCTTTTCCGATTTCAACTTGTATTTGTTTTTTTTCCTTCTTTTGTCAATGATTTTTCACTTCTGATAGAGCTTGTTGTATGGGTTTTGCCTAGCCCAGTGTAATTTGCGGGTTATTACACTAGTATATAACATATACTAGTATTTTTATTTTTAGTCTCTCTCCATATATTTTTGAGTGCCCTAAGCACAAGACTAGAGGCTATAGAGGATTCAAAATTGTCCTTCCAAGTTTAAATCGTAGGCACTTTTTTTTTTTTTTTTTAAAAACCCATCCGTCAATGTTCAAGGCTTTGGTCTAGTCCCAACGAGTGAATTTGTTATGTGTTAGAGGCACTTCATAGGTTCGAACCCTGTTACAATGTAGAACGCGAACTCATTATTTCATGAGTTGCTAACTATCTGCCATTGTGGTAATAAAAAAATTGTGTTGGAGGTTCCCACTTTTATACCTGAAATATCCAACATTGTCCCAAAATTTTCCTAGAATTCTAATGTTGTAAGCAATCAAGTTCTATAATATTTGTGTGATTCTCAACTTTTGCTTTATTTGTAGACCTTTAGATTTTACAACTCAGACGAGAAATGCAAATGGAGCTGATTGGCAGGAAGAGGTTTGCCAAAGGTATTGTTTGCAATGGTATTTTAATTTGCGCAAGATTTTGATAAACGGACTGGTTATAACATTATAAGAAATAGTTGAATCTTTTGAAATATTTCCTATCCATACCAAGTGTTCAACTAAATTCATGGTCTTACCCTTTCCTGCAAGGCTCTTTATGTATTCCATTTCTTAGAGGAAATAGAAAATCGAGCCTGTTAATAGGTAACTTGTTAGAAATTGGTATATTCTCAATTGAGAAGTACTGCTAAAACTACACCTCAATCCCAAGAAAGTTGAGGTTCACTATTTGAAGCCTCACTGTCGATGATCCGCTATTTAAGCCCGTCTTGGTCCAATATGTCAATGACAAAAAATAGTTTCACAAACACCATCATAAATTAGAAGTGAAGTATTGTTTGATAAATTGATTGATTATAGAAAATTAGTTGTTCAAAGTTGTGATCGTATTATCTGAATTCGTGAGGTAATATGTATGGAAGTATGGATCAAAGTCTTCATGGCATGTCACCAATTTGCTTTAATTCTCGGCAACTAAAATCTTTAATTGATAGTTTGAAGGATTGACCTGTTCATGCAGCAAGTATATACCTGAATATATGGCTATAAAAGATGTTCTTTGTGTTAAGAAATCACACTCTTGGGAAAATGATTGTGGAGATTTGGGATAGAGGGAGAAGTTTTATGGAGAGGGGTGTTAGCAGATAAATATGGAGAGATGGAGGGGGATGGAGAACAAATGTGATCACGATGCCCTTCGGGTGTGGTGTGTGGAGGAATATCATAAATATGAAGGGGGTGGAATGCCTTAAATGATAACATTGGTTTCAAAGTTGGGGAAGGGAGTAAGGTTAGTTTTTGGGGGCAAAAGTAATGTGGAGGATTGGTGCTTAAGGATGAATTCCCAGTATTGTATAGTGTCTTGCAAAGGAAATTGTCTATTTAGCAAGTTAAGGGGGCTTATAGTGATGAGACGTTCTAGGTTTACTTCAAAAGCAATGCTAGCAATTGATAGACCCAATGCTTTGAGTTGGGAGTTGGGAAATAACTAAGTGTTCTCGGTTAAGTCCTTCTATGAGAAGCTTCTGGAATCTGGTTAAGGCAGTGTTTTGGACGACAAAAGGTGATAAAAGGCGACAAGGCTTTGTCGAGGTGAATAGCAAGGTGCTCGCCTTTTTGAAGTGCGGCCCAATTAATACCAAAATATTAAAATATTTTTCTGCATATATAAATAATGAAATCTAAATAGCAATAACATATTAGCAAATATTTCAATTCAAAAACTGAAAATAGATAGGACATACTTAGAACTTGAATAAGAAAAAAACAGAACAAAAGTCAAAACAGGTAAAAAAACAGAGGTAGATGTGACTGAAGTCTGAAGAAAAGAAGGAAAAAGAAGCAGAGGAAAAAGAAATCTGAAGAAAAGAAAAGAAGAAGACAGAAGAACAACATATTGGTTGGACTTTGGAGTCGCCGGAAAATTCTGGTCAGTCGCCCGAGAAGTCTAGTCGAAAACCCTAAAATTATCTTTTAACTTTTAAAACCCTAAATTAGTCGCCTTTTTTAAAGAAATTACAAAAGGCGACGCCTTTCTCGCCACGATGTCACCTTTTGAAGCTCGCCTCGCCACAAAGCTAGAAGACGATGAAGGGTCGCCTCGCCTCTTCCATTGACGACGAGGTGATCGCCTTTTACAAGGAATTTAGATGGTTTGGAGTTTCTGGGGTTATGCCAAGAACCGTCTAGGAATTTATGTTCAACTAGATGGGTGGAGCTAGGAGAAGAAGAGTGTTACTCCTCTTCCTTTGTTGTGGGTCATTTGGAAAGAGAGGAATAGGAAAGCTTTTGAAGGGGTAGAGATGAGCTTTGCTCTAGGAGTAGTCTCCGATCCCTTATTTTCTTTTGGAGTACCTATGCAGTTCCTGTTTGTATATTGGGTGTATTTTAGAGAGAACCATATTTTGTAGGTTTCTCCTCTTATTGGTATTCACTTTTATATGGCAAAGTTGGCCTTGTTATTATCAATAAAACCTTTTACTTGATCAAAAAATGAAGATGATGTTTTCTGTGAAAAGACATCCGTCCATCTGTATTAGCTGGTATACTTTTTCTGTTTTTTTTAAAGATTAATTATAAAAGAAAAATTTGATGCTTCCGTTTGTGAAACTCTGTGGGTAACAACCCCACCCCTTATCCTTCTCTACTTACATCTTCTGCTTGGTTTGCTATCTAGGAATACGTTGAATTACTTTGACTTCTCCAAGAATAAGCATATAACATTAACATGCTCTGTGTACTCCATCCTGTCGTTTTCTTACTTGTGATGCCAACTATATCGTTGTTATTTCATTGTTGACCTTTGTTTTACTTCGTTGATGATAAAGGTGTAAAGTGAAAAAATATTTTAAAAAATGATTATTGCCATTAAACCGTATTATATCTCCCAAACTAACTATAAAAAAAGTTCAGTTTCACAAAAAAAAAAAAACTATTTATATAAAAAGTATATTCTAATTCCTCTTGGTTGGGCTGGTCTATGGTTGTATTATGTGAGCAGAAATGTATACCAAAGAAGCTAAAGGAAGCAAATCTTATTGCTTCTTTTATCATTTACGTGTTAATCAGTTGTAGTCTTCCTCTTCTACTTCACTTTTAACCTTTTTATCTGGAAGGTTCTTTTGTGAGGACTTTCTAGTTTGTTCTCTACTGCATCGTAAGTTGATCTTATTATCACCTTGCCGCATGGGAATGCATTCTTGACATTTCTGCAGTTGACTTAATGAAAATTTGTAATGCAGATCAAGTCTATGAAGGAGCTGTATTTTTCAAAGCTCAATGATCTATACCAGAAAATGGCTTATAAAGTGCAATAGGTATGTCATCAACATCTTGTTCTACTATTATCATTTCTGGAAGCAATTCTACCAGTTGTATGGTGCAGCATGCTGGATTTACTAGATCTTGATATAATTTTAGATGCTAATAGTGCTTTGAAGTCATTCTTCTTATGGGGACATTACTTGCAATCATATATTTCGTCTTCTTCTTGTCCTAAAACCGTTGCCTTTAAAGTGCTTTATCATCATCAACAACAACAACAACAACAACAACAACAACAACATACCTACATAATCCCACAACTTGGGGTTGGGGTTGGGGAAGGTGGTGGGTATGCAAACCTTATCCCTACCTTGTGAAGGTAGAGAGACTGTTTTCGAAAGACGCTTGTCTCAAATAAAACAATTCTAAGTAGTTATGAAAAGGAAATATAGTAGTGAAGAAGCCACGATAAAAATAATAGAGAAGAATAGTAACAAGAACAAATACTACAATAATTGAAGGAAAGAAAACAACAAGTGGTAATAAAGATTAGTAATAATACTAACGGTGAGAAAAATTAGACAATGCTCAGCTACCTACTAGCCTTATACCATGATCTCCGACCTCCATGTCCGTCTATCTAGGGTCATTTTCTTGGTAAGCCACAATTGTGTTATGTTCTTTGTAATCATCTCTTCCCAATATTTCTTAGGCCTACCTCTACCTCTCGTTATATCCACCATATTCATATCCAACCTCTCAAACGTTCTTACTGGAGCTTCGGAGCATCTCCTCTTCACATGCCCAAAGCCTCTCAACCTCGCTTTCCTCACGTGTCCACCACGGAGGGCACCCCCACCTTGTCCCTTATTTTCTCATTTTTGGGTTATATCTCTTCTAGTATGCCCACACATCTAGAGGCAGCGGGAAGAGGTACAATAGTACAATAGTTCATCCGGTTGCTTTTGCATGATGATTGGTGTTGTAAACGTTTAGTGTACTGAGTTATCAAGTAAAAAAGAAACTTTTAGTTTAGTAAACGTTTCTCTTTTTTTCTGTAAAATCATCTCTTTTGTTTTATTCTAAGATCTCTTTGTGTTTAAGGTTAATAACTCTTGCAATGTATAAATTCCTACCCTTCTTCAAAAGCCATAATTTTTAGCAGGAATCTAGCTCAAACGAAGCTATTGGGAGGCCTTCAGTATTTTTCAAGTAAACGGAGTAAGTCATTATTCACATCCATCACATATATTGTTTTCATTGTTCTTAATTATTATTATTTTTATACTAAGTAATTGTAGGTGAGAAACCAATAGTCCTCAACTTGTTATGGAAGACTAGGAAGACCATGTTTATAAACATCTAAAGTCTAAAGACTGAAGAAACGTAATACTATAAAGAGTTCTCTAGGAAATATAAACAAAACATTTCTATCTTCCTTCATTACATTGGTCTGTCTCTTGGAGAAGTTCACTAAGACTTATCTGGTTGAAAATCCACGATCAGATCATGTGGAAGAAAACGAAGGGAAGATCGAGAACAAAAGATGATACAAATAAGATTACCATGCATCTTTAGTTCTACATGTATGTTTTGCTATAGGTGGTCCAAGTTAAGAGGGAAGAGAAGAATGGAGGCTAAAGATTAGGAGAAACACGTGAGAGGGTTATGTATGTTGAAAAGTTTCACGATGGTTAGGATTATGATTGAAAGTCCACAACTTAGTGCTCCTGGAACAGAAATAGGATCATTTTAATCCTAAGTCTAAAGACAGTTGACTATTTGAGCCTTTTCTCGCACGTTGAGGAATAGTTGAGAAGAGATTAGAGATAATTGAGGCTTATTTAAGAAGGGCAGACACATTGTTGGCTATTAACAAAAAATGACTTATTCGGTGAAGATACAGAAAGTTAAAGTTTCTCGAGACATTAGCCGTCCAACTAAGTACGTGAACTCCTCGTGGACAGGTGATGGTCGAACAAAGAGGAGGCAAATTATTTTGGTACTTATCCTAATTTCATGCAACAATGGTTTATGTTAGTCAAATATAGTGATTGGGGATTAGTTTTAGACGAAATTGATGAAACCCCTAAATTCGATAATCAAACTTTAAAAATTAATCTGATTGTGCTTCAATAAGGAGTGCTTCAAGGATTCTTTTACTTCAAAAAAGAATTTCTTCATTGAACAAACAAGAGAATCTAAAATATAATCTGATTTTTGACAGATAAAAATTGTTTGTTTAAACCTATAAAGTTTCCTTCATTTTCAACACTACATTGACATTACCAATATATTATTTTCATGCATCATCACAAAACTTCAATGGCCATAGATGAAGTGTTTTGGAAAGTGAGCGTTGATTTATCTCATCAACATAAACTACAAGTACAACAAACCCCGATGTTGTTTTCTTTGTCAAAACACAAAAGCAAGCAAAGTCACTATTATATTTTTTGTCAATGAATATTCACTGAGGTGATTAAGTCACTTCCACCTTATTTAATTTTCTCTATATAGGGATTATGAAAAAGTTTATTGAAACTGCCCCCAAGGCCTAGCTCAAGTGGCAAAAGGTGGAGGATTTGTGGCTTAGGTCGCAGGTTCAAGCCCCACACCATGCAAAGCGAAGCTTGGTATTTAAGTGGAGAAGGGTAGAGGGGCGGGCCCATTATCCACCGAGTTTAGAAGGCTGTGGTTGGTTTAAAGGGAGGGTCACACACGGATTTCTCGGTTATCAAAAAAAAAAAAAAGCTTATTGAAACTTGTAAATGCTTCAAGCATTTTTAATGTTCAAGAATTTTCATTTAAATTTTGTCAAGTGACAATATCCTTCATTAAATGTGCGACATCTTGTGATGCCTAGACTGTTGGTCCAATTAGCTTACACTTATTAAGATGCATTATCTTAGTTGCGCGGAGTCTTCCCTTTGATGCCGCACTCGAGTCTTATATACACTACTTTTGGCGAATTTGACACGCATCCGTTACCATTTTTTAAGAGTCCGAGCAACTTAGTGCATGATGCTCATCAATTCACTTGATGAACATTTCTAATTTTGTCAAGAGACAAAATCCAGTATTAAATGCATGACATCCTCTGATGCCTGGACTAATGGGGTCCTACAAGCTTACACGTATCAAGATGCATGATACATCACGTAACTTGATAATCATTTCTACGTCAGTATGCTTAAATAGACGTAGAATTTAGTATCACAATCTTTTACAATATTGTGCTCTATATTGTATCAAATATATATCGTCAATGAGATATCATTTTGTATCAATTCACAATGCGACGACATAACTTACTGAGATCTCATCACTTTATCATTTATAGGTACATAAAGCTCTCATGAGGTCTCATGAGTCGTAGGCTCTTCAAGAACACATTGCCTCCTTATTATGATCATTTTCTTTTTTCCCTTTCTAAGGATTATTGCAGTTAGAACTGACTGCTTTACCATGTTTTATGCATGTCGTAGATTCTGTCCTTCCGGAACATTTAATATGAGCATTTGCAACTGAAATATGTGTTAATTTTGGGTCGGCATATGCGTCTAGCATTTGACTTGAATTATCTTTTGAATAAGTATTGTACTAATGACGTACATGAAGCTCGCATGAGGTTTCATAAATCGTAGGCTCTTCAAGAGCATATTGCCTTCTTATTATGATCATTTTCGTTTCTCCCTTCCTAAGGATTATTGCAATTGGAACCGACTGGTTTACCATGCTTTATGCATGCCGTAGACTATGTCCTTTTGGGATATTTAAAATGAGCATTTGCAACTGAAATATGAGATTAATTTTGGGTCAGCAAATGCTTCTAGCATTTGACTTGACGTATCTGTTGAATAAGTATACTCATATGCTCTAGAACCAACCTCTCACACCTCCTCACTAGTGTGTCTATTCACCCCTCTTCACATGTCCAAATCATCTAGTCTCGCTTTCCTCAACTTGTCGACCACAAAGGACACTCCCGCATTCATCCAAATATCCTCATATATCGCACGTTAAAAGCTATTAGGTGGAAAATATTTGGTTCCTGACCCTAAATCAATTGAGAGGAGGCAAAATATGTCATAATTTGTTGGTCTGATGCATAAAAGTGTTGTTGTATACACTTATATCAAGTCATAGACCAACACACAATTTTGTTCTCATAAGCAGTGGTTCGACTAATTATCGAAGGTATTCAATGTCAAACTAGCTTGGATATAAAGCAACATTATCTAGATGAATTGTCTTAACTGTTGATTACACAATCTAGAACTATGCTCTTAACTCGATCAAAGAACTTTGTGAATGTCAAACTGCATGTTGATAGTAAACACACATATGACCATCTTATAGATGCATCTTTTAAGATATCACATGATAGGTGAACATGCTCATACTGACCTTTTATATTTTTCATGAGAACAAACAACATCAATTTTTTTTTGAAGAATCTTCTAGTTCTTCAATATATTTTGAATACTTAATATGCACATCTTCGGGATTCCATAATCATTCATGATTAACATTTAAATATTTTTTATAAAAGCGGCAATTTTTATAATATTGTCACTTCTTTTAGGAAAGTGTATGAATTGTTATTTCCTTCAAGGAAATTAATAGAACGTACGTAGAAAGCATTCAACAAGATTTATTTCCTTCCGCCTTAAAATGATATTTTACTAAAGTTATTCAAGATGTTTCTATGTACGACAGGTACATATTTCAATGACTTTCATACCACAAAAATAACACGTATAACCTTAGTTATTTTATCTCTTTAAGAGACAAGTTGTGGTATTTCTTTCATTCATTTTGGGGAATGAAACCAGATTATTTGAATGTTCTTGAAATACAACATTCATCAATAGCTCATTATTTTTCTCAAGCACAATAAGACATTGCTTCAGAATATTTCTCAGACATTTGTCAAATTATTTTTGCTTCAAGAGAATTTTGAAGTTTTACTATTTGAAGAATGTATGCTCAAAATTTTACCACTTCCAGAGTAAATTTTGATGTTCTACTACTTTGGGAGTAAAGTTCAAAGTTCTACTACTTCAGGAGTTAGTTGCAAAGTATTTACTACTCCAGGGAGTGAATTTTAGGTTTATGCCACGTCCCAAACTACCCGCTAGGCATGATTGACACCAGCACACACCATTGGCCAGGTGAACCCAATTTCCATACTTTAACCATTAATGCACAACATTTGACGAATGAAATAAGTATCCAAACAATATGATAAATAATTATGAACACTTGGTATCTTAAAATATTAATCTAACACTCTTGCCCAAATCCCAAACTAGACCATGGAGCATCAAAAGGATTCCGAAAGGACTCAAAATAAATGTTAATAACTCTTATGAAAGCCTCCACGAACAATGCAACAGTTCACCTCAACAATTGGAATAACTCTAGTGAACTCCTCAACTACTAGCTTCGTCATCACCAATAGTATCTGCATGGACATCCATGTAAGGAGTGGGTTATACATAAATATAACCCAGTAAAATGCTCGGCCTTCCCCTTTAAATACCCTTGCAATAAGTGTTAGAAAATACTAACACACTACTAGCACATAAGTAAATTTGCGTAGGAATTATATCAACAATTTTCAAACAATTGTTTATCAAGAATACTATATATCTCAACATAAATTACACTAAGAACTTGTCATAAAAGGAAGGTAAATCAATTAGTCGACACCATGAGTCCACGACAACATACACAATGCACCAAATATATTGAGAAGCATACACAATGCCTAGCACCCAAAATTTTGAAAATCAAACACCCAAAGCCTTAAGGAATTTATTTTCGTATCATTTTTTGTTTGGATAGCAAGAAATTTGTTCAGTGTTTATCTTTAAGGAAGAAAAAGAATAAGCAAAGAAATTATCTAGACGGGAGGAAAAAACATGTGTGCATCAAATTTTTTATGGTGTTAAAGGATATAGTAAGAGAGTAAAAACTCTAAAATTGTGAAGTAGCCTTACATGCTTGTTGAATATGAAGCATTGTTGGCGGTTAAGGTCGGGTGATGGTTAGAGGTTAGATTATTTAGAAGGGTATTTTTAGTAATTTAACTCTTAAGTTGGGATTCCTGCTTTTAATTTAATATAAACAAATATACATTAAAAAGATGGACATATTAGTATATATATTCTTAGACAAGTATATTTAGATGACAATTAGAATGTATCTAAATACATGAAATAATATCTACCATTGTAATATAATGTTGTAAGCAATCAACTGCTTATTTTGTTTTATATCGCTATCCTCAATTTTGTTTTATTTGTAGCACCTTTATATTCTTCAGCTCAGATGGGAAATGCAAATGGAGTTGATTGGCTGGAAGAGGTTTACCAAAAGGTATAGTTTGCAATGACACTTTTATTTGCTCAAGAGTTTGAAACTAAGTATATCACAGACAACTCACTGGAAACTGAATTTTTTGCATTGAGTAGTGATGTGGAATTTCTGTTGTTATAACAAGTCTGTTTATCAAATTTCAATTTCCACCAAGTCGTCTGTGATATCCTTAGTTTTCAAAATCTCGAGCATATAAAAATACCATTGCAAACTATACCTTTTGGTAAACCTCTTCCTGCCAATCAAGTCCATGTGCATTTCTCATATGAGCTGAAGAATATGAAGGTGCTACAAATAAAACAAAATTGATGATAGCCACAAAATAAAGAAGTAGATTGCTTGCAACATTAAAATATCGAGCAAATTTTGGGATAGTGGTAGATATTTTTTCAAGTATATAGCTACATTCTAGTTGTCTTCTAAATGTACTTGTCTAAGAATGGGTTTATATACTAATATGTCCATTTTTTTAATCTATATGTATTTAAACTAAAAGAAGGAATCACAAGTTTAATTACTAAAATACCCTTCTGAATCATCTAACCTCAAGACAACACCCCTTCCTTAACAATCAACAATGCTTCGTATTCAACAAGCATGTAAGGCTACTTCAGAGTTTTAGAGTTATTACATTGTTACATGTTTAGATCCTTTAGCACCATACAAATTTTGATGCACCTATTTTTTTTTCCTCCCGTCAAGATAATTTTATTTAGTTTCTTAATGATAAACAACATATTTCTTGCTATCCCAACAAAGAATGATATGAAAACTTAATGTCATGGCTGTCATCTATCTCCAAATAATTGCATGACTAACTTGGTTGCCCTACTGTGAAAAGTTTAACGACAACATAAACTTTTCAGCAATCGAAAAAAGGTGCTAAAGAACTAAAACGTTTGGTTAAGTAATATAATAAATCTAGCTTTCAGATGGTTGTCCTCTTCAACAGTACAAGTAATCAGTTTACTTAACCATCCAATTCAATATTTTAGTTATTTTTCAAGCCAAAACAGTTTCTCCTTGTGAGTAAGTTGAATCTCATGCTCGTTAAACCACAAGAGAAGTAGAATGCATCCCAACTTAACAAGCATGAGATTAAACTTACTCACAAGGAAAAATTGTTTTTGCTTGAGAAGCACATAAGTTTCTTTCTTAGTGGAAAATGACAGCATAGGCTTACTTCTCCATTGCATGAGCAACTTTCATGCATACTGCAAGTCAGGTAGGCAGTATACACTTGTTTTGATAGTTCAATTGTTTTTCTGCTTGTGCTAAAATACATCTACATTTCCATTAATTGTTTGTACCGAACCTTGTCATGCAGCATTCTGAAATTAAGGAGAGTGTTTTTTTCGTGGGGGGTGGGGCGTTCATAACTTTGAACTTGTGATAATCAGCATAAATCGCTTAAGTGATGTATGATTTCTCTTGTTTCTTTTTCTTTATTCTAAGATCTCATGTGTTCAAATAAGATGGTATAAAGATTGAAGATTAGAGTAGAAGGTTAGTAAGCAGTTGATTATTGTCGTATTATTCGAGTATTGTCTTGTTTCTTTTTTCTCTGATGTGTATTAGTATATGCTGCTACATGTTTTGTGTATATTGCTATTTCTTTTCTCTTTTTTTCTTTCTTTCCTGCATCGTTTCTATTTTTTTTTTTTGAGCTGAGGGGTCTATCATAAACTTCTCTACCACACAAAGATAGAGATAAGGTCTGCGCATATTCTACCCTCCCATACCCACTTGTCGGATAACATGGGGTTTATTGTTGTAGATCTCTTTGGTTTTGTTCTAAGATTTTCTCAATGTGAAGTTAATGATCTCTTGCTATTTTACTCTTTAGTTACAAATTATGTCTTGCACGTAATATCCTATGCAGGCACCAAATACACATGCATGCCAATTGCTTACCATGGATCCAGTGGGTAATGTATGGAATGATTTTGGTAGTGATAGTTAAGGTTCTAATTTTGATGGATTGAAATCTGGTACTAAACATGATGAATGTTTAGCGTATGCAAGATCGGATTTACATGGAAGAGGTATGGGCTCACATGAACCCCTCGCTGTATTATGTAAGTACTCAAGCACTCCTCCCAAGACTATGTAAAGTACACATGACCCCGTGCAACCCTCCTTAGATCATGTAAAGTATTGGTGAACCCATGCACTCCTCCCTAGATTATGTGAAGTACTACAATTATTTTGATAAATTACTTCAATTTTATGGGGGAACTCGGCTAAAATTTGAAATATTATCTCCAAAAAAGTTTATGTTTGAATCTTTATCAACATTTTTACAAACAATGGTCACACTTCTCTGAATATTTATATGGTTTTTTTTGTCTTTCTTCAATTCTTTTCTTTGATTTGTAAAGTGTGTTTCCCTAAATAATGAACTATTTTAATCAATTTCAAATATCAAAATTTGTTATACTATTTTTCTGTGATGATAATATAAATTATAGTTTACTTGTCAATTCGTTGTCTTGGCAAAATATTATTGCATTAAACCTAACGATAATATTTTCCGGATAGAAGGTGGCAACCCTAATTAATTGACTATGAAGGTGCCTCTTAGCTACATCAATACTCAAATTTCTTAATTGTTATTGCCCAGGCTTCAATGATCAACCCCTGACACATTTTGGGTGTTTTGAAAACTTGGGTACACCCTTGAGCACATGTTGAGGAATAATTAGAAAAAATTGAGACCTGTTTGAATGAGGTAGATACATTGTTGGCTAGGGGTGAAGCCAGGTAAGACTGAGGGGCTCACCTGAACTCTCTTCGGCAAAAACTTACATTGTTTATACATGCTTAATATTATTTTTTATGTATATATGATAGATGTTAAACCTCCTTTGACTTCTTCATGTGTTTACTTATTCATATTTTGAATCCTCTAAGTGAAAATTTTGACTCTACCACTGTTGTTGGCTATGATCCTATCAGAACTCTTGAGCTAGTTATGACTTAAAAATTTTAATCTATCAAGTCACAAAATTCATTTATCTTTTGTTTTGTTCTAAGATCTCATGTGTTTAAAATTAATAATTTTTTTAATTAATTTTTATCAAAAAAATTAATAATTTTTTGTAACTTGCACTACAAGAAAAGTATGAATTACATGGGGATTTTCCTGGAGATTAGTTTGAAAATCCGTAGGAAACTTATTTTTCTGCAAATTTTCATACTAATCCCCAAGAAAATCTCCATGTAATTCACACTTTTCTTGTAGTGTTGTAAATCTTTTTAGTTACTAATGATATCTCAATTTTTCAAATGAACTCTCTCCTTAAGGACTAAAATAGTTATTATCCCTTCTTTGTTGTATAATAATTTAACAATGTAAAAAACTTTTTAAAAAGAGTTTAATTGTCTTTAACTTGCCCTCATAATAAGTTATGAACTCATCATATAGGCTTATTTCTTTTGTGATCACACAATCAACATGATGTTGTAGGTGAAATGATAACCGTTGATTGATTTTTTTAGTATAAACTAGAGTTGAACAACTTTTCAAAATAATTATCATTAGTTGAGTGACCTTAATGTTACAAAACAGAGTTGAATGACTTTTCTATTATAAAATAAAATTGAGTAACTTTTTGAGATAATTATCATTAGTTGAGTGACCTTTGTCTTACAAAATAAAGTTCAGTGAGTTTGTGAGATAAAAAATTATTACTTGAGAGATCCTACCAAAAATTAACTCTATATTATATAAATAGATACTAGGGCTCACATTAGGGGGGAAAAGTTTATCAAAATTGAGATGTATACTAATACTCAAGATTGTAAGAGTACCGCCCCTGCCATGGCTGCCACCGGAGCTTCGACCGTAGAATGGCCAACAAGATGTAAATTCCTTTTTCCGATTGTAACCTCTACTTGTTTTTTTGTTTTCTTTTTTCAATGATTATACACTACTACTACTACATATTCGTAGAATTGCAGGGGATCTCCCATTGGGAGTCTCAGGTTTGAAATCTTCTTATATGCTTTCTCATTGGGGATTGTCTAGTATGGTTTATCTCTCCTATATGGTTTGTGGGCTAGTTTTACTCTGTGAATCCTAAGAAGAGTAGTGATTGTGGGTTCCCTTGTCATAAATAAACAAGAAAAGGAAATGATGATAGGTAGAGGGTGGACCCATTATTTGATGAGTTTCTAACTCTGCGCCATTGACCTCAGGGATTTCTTGGCTATAAAAAGGGTAAAAAACAGTGAACAACAACGACACATATGCTTTTATTTTATTGGACCACTATCAATTCTTTATTCATCGAAAGAGTACAACAACATACTTAGTGGTCATTTCGTTGGGAGGGATAAGTTATCTCACATGTATATGGGATAACTTATCCCATCACTATAGTATAAATGGTGGGATAAATAATCTCATGACTACCTAATACCTCCAACCAAATGCAGGATAAAATAATCCTACATTTTATCTAGGATTATCATACTCTATACCTCTCACCAAACGACTCCTTAGTGTAATCCTACTAGTGGTGTCTGGGGAAGGGCGTAGCCACATACAATGAGGGGTAGCTAGTTACCCTATGTTGAAGAATTATACTGCAGATGTAAAAAATTATACGAAGTATATAAGTTACAAATTATTTTTCGGGCGGATATGTTAATTTTCGGCACCGAGGGTAGGATGTATGCCGTCCTTACCCTACATTTGTGGGGTTGATAGACCCTTGGCTAAAGAAATGGTATAGATTTGTTAAATTAATTGTAATTACAATATTATCCAACATAGAGTGCACTTATGAATGGTAATCAAAAAATTTATGTTGGAGGGAGTTAAAATGTTTTAGATAAGTACATTTCAAGGGAAGTTAAAATGTATTAACATACCTGAAATATTAAACACTCCCAAAATTTACCTGAAATTTTGATGATGTAAGCAATCGAGTTCTTTAATATTTGTGCTATACTTAATTTTGTTTTGTTTGTAGCACCTTTAGATTCTACAGTTCAAACGGGAAATGCAAATGGAGGTGACTGGCAGGAAAAGGTTTACGAAAAGGTATTGTTTGCAATAGTATTTTTTTCTACACAAGATTTTGAAAACTGTGGAAATTTGACATGTGGATATTGATACACTGGCTGGTTACAACATTATAAGAAATAGCTGAATATTTTGACATATTTCCTATGATTATAGAGTAACAAAGGAGGTTTATCATACCAAGTGTTTAGTTAAATTCATGATCGTACCCCTCCCCGCAAGGTGTTAGAAACTGGTATACCGTCAGTTGAGGAGTACTACTGCAGCTACATCTCAATCCCAAGCAAGTTGAGGTTGCCTCTATGAATCCTCATTGTGGATGATACCTTGTTTAAGCTTGTCTTGGTTCAATATTGTCAACAACAAAAAAATAGTTTCAGAAGCAATGGAATAATTGAGAAGTGAAGTATTATTTGATAATTAACTGATAATGAAAAAATAGTTGATGAATGTTGTGATCGTATTATCTAATATTTAATGAGGTAATATGTATATAAGTTCATGTCATAGTCTTCATGGCATGTCACCAACTTGCTTTATTTCCTGGCAACTAAAATCTTTAATTGCTACTTTGAGAGATAAACCTATTGGTGCAAGAAGTATATACCCCAATATATGGCTATAAAAAGATGCTCTCTGTGAAAAGACATTTGTTCATCTGTATTCGTTGGCATACTTTTTCTGTTCTTTAATTTTATTTATTTTTATAATAGAGAATTCAATGCCTCTTATCTTCGAAACTTGGTGGGTAACAGGTCTGTCCCTCTATCCTTCTCTACTTACATCCCCGACTTGGCTTACTAGCTAGGTGGTAAAAGTTGGAGTACTTTGACTTCACTATGAATAAACATATAACACTAACATTCTCTGTAGACTCCATTCCGTCGTTTTTCACTTGTGAAGCCAACTACTTAGTTATTATTTCATTGATGGTAAAGGTGAAAAGTGGGGGGAAAATGATGATTGGCATTAAACTGTATTATATCTCCCAACCTAACTTTTAAAAAGTATAGTCTAATTACAAAAGTTTGTATTCTTGATGTGAGCACCAAGAAGCTAAAGGAAGCAAAGCTCAGTTACTTATTTTAATAACATTTACATGTTAATCAGTTGTAGTATTCCTCTTCTACTTCACTTTAAACCTTTTTATCTGGAAGGTTCTTTTGTGAGAATTTTATAGTTTGTTCTCTACTGCATCGTAAGTTGATCTAATTATCACCTAACCACATGGGAATGTGTTCTTGACATTTCTGCAGTTGACTTAATGAAAATTTGTAATGCAGATCAAGTCTATGAAGGAAATGTATGTTTCAAAGCTCTATCGTCTATACCAGAAAATTGCTTATGAACTGCAACTGGTATGCCATCAATATCCCTCTCAAGTGCTTCATAATAGTGCAAAATTTTGGTAGATTCCCTAGCAAGTTTTGTCAGCATGCACCAATGTGTAATGCATTTTGTAGTCTATTGGTTATTGGAAACTCCTCTAATCTCTTTGCATGTTTCTCACACCTATTATAGCTCCTTCTTACATATATTCTCTGGCATTTATATTTGATAAAAACAACTTTATTTGCCCAACGTAATCCTAGAATATTATCTAACTGGGAAATGATGCAGAAAGCTCAAAACTCTAAATGCACATTTTGCTTCTTTGGTTGATTTTCTGTTATCGTGAGAAACAGTATTCTCATAGTGGGAATATGTTATAGTGTAGTTAACTCCCTTTCATTTCTAGCATCAGCATCATTTGTTTGTGTTGAAGCATTGTGAATGATTGTGAAATCGAGGTGGTGGTGGACACCATAAAGGGAGTTATTTACACATATCTAGGTAGACATTGCAGTGTAGATGTCATTTTATGTTAGTTTGTTTTCCTTTTGGTGAAGGAATCAAGGCCTCCCAAGTTCATCGGGCAAGGGCTTGATTTATCTAAATTTAAAGAGCACTTGAGTCAACATTCTGCTGAATTTTGGGAAGCTTGCGAGCTATGCTATTTGTCTTTTTATG